GAGGGGTGCGACATCACGTATTCAATTTCCATTCATCGCAAAGGCAAATTAGTCAGCCTACTCTGTCTTTCCTCTTTGACATTGAATGCTTTATGACATTTATTGTCATTTATAAAATGGCCATGAGGCGTCTACTAGAAAACAATAGTGGTATATGGGAAAACATGTAAAAGCTTCAAAGGAATACATCGTGAATGATGATGATAAATGTAGATAGTACTATTTTATCTTTTGCACTTCATTTCTTCAAGAGGGGAACAATCACACGATACATGATTTCGTAAACTCACTGTCATAGTAAAGTTGGTAACTGCCAGTAATTATTGGAGCACTCGACGAAGATGAGACCGTTTCAAGTTCTATCTCGGCGTCAACATCATCCACCGGCATCCCGATCGGATACAAAAGCGGTTTTGGAGGTAGTTGCAGTTTATCCATATCTCCTTCAAGCATCTTGAGGACTTTGTTCATCGATGGCCGATCATTAGGGCTCAATTGTATGCACCATAGTGCTACAATTATCATCTTCCTTGTTGTTTCCCTTTCCTCTTCCATGACATCTTCCATTTGAACCTCCTTTTTCTTGCTGAGTTGATCATAAACCCACAAAGGAAAGTAAATTTGACTCAAACGCTCCGCTTGTGCATTTAGATTTCTTCTTCTACAAGCCATTTCCAGCAACAACATCCCAAAACTATAAACATCAGCTTTATAAGAAATGCCACCAATGTCCTTATAGAATAGCTCAGGCACCATATATCCTAAGGTTCCTCGTGCCGCAATCAACGATACTATGCTGTGATTGGTGGGGTACAGTCTAGCAAGTCCAAAGTCGGAAATTTTCGGAATGAAACTTCGATCTAGGAGAATGTTGTGAGGCTTAATGTCAAAGTGTAGAATTTGCATATCACATCCCCGATGCAAATACTCTATCCCTCTAGCTATGCCAAGAGAGATCTCATGCATTTTCTTATAATCAAGAGGATCATCACCACCCTTATAGGAAATGTGTTTATCCAAAGATCCATTCGACACGAAATTATAAACAAGAGCTTGTTTGGAGTAATCGAAGCAAAAACCAACAAGTTGCACCACATTAACATGGTGGATCCTTCCAATTGTGGCCACTTCGCTTATAAAATCTTGGCCTTTAGATTCTGGTTTGTTCAAAATCTTAATCGCAACTTTATTGCCACTTCTAAGTATTCCTCTGTGTACAGAACCATATCCCCCCTCACCTAACTTGTATTTGAATTTTTTTGTGATCTTCTCGATATCCGAGTAAGAGTACCTTATGAGCAAAAAGTTGTTGTGAGCTCATAGGAATTCTTCGATGTTTGCGTCGATCGCTTGATGCCTTCTCATCCACTTATAGATTAGAAGTATCAATACACATGGAGCTCCAAGTAAGAATTTTGCTGCTAGGAAGTAGCCTGCCGAGAAAATTGGCCATTGATTAGCATAGTGTCATAATTTTCTTACACATACAGTGTTTTTCTTTTTGTCAGAGTGCTGAATGAGAACTTCATAGGTGTGAGGAGAAAGGACTTGTCATACCCAAGACAAAGGAGAGATTCCATGCTGCGACTCGTGCAAAATTAAGCGTGATTAACCACGTAGGATGATCTGTAGTTAGCAAGAGAATTCGTGAGAGATTACTAAAAAAGGTTAATTAGAATTAACGACCAATCAATGAAGAACCAGATCCATTATGTTAGCAGTCAAATAATAAAAGCAATCCACATTAAGCTATACCCCAGGTGAAAAGATAAATTCATACAATCACTGCAAAGTGCAAAGATACACTTTTGTTCGTTGAAATTTGCAAGTGGAGAAGTCTAGGATATAAAAAAAAAAAAAAAGAGTGAATGAGTTTCACTTTCCTAGATAGCGCTCAGATCCAATTTTATTCTATTCACTTTTGTTCCCCTAAATGTACAAAATGATTCATAAGCTCCCCGTGATAATGACAGCGATTTAAGGGACACGAGCTACTATCAAATCAAATAAGTTTCTCCAAAGAGATATAAAAGAATAGTGTTAAGTCCAGAAAAGCTCCATGGTTGTAAAATAAAAAAAAGCAATGCACGCCAAATCTATTAAAAAATCTTACTAGAGTTTTTCACTAAACTGATTTGGCAATTTTTTCTAATTGGTATTGAAAAAATTAATGACTCAATAAATCGAACCTACGTATTACAATATCCAATTGAAACATGCCACATCACTCAGTAAGTAAATTTTGATAGGATCCATCAGTAGAGCTAACATTTAAGAAAAGGATGAGGATCAAGAAGAAGAAGAAGGAAGAAAGATAGAAAGAAAGAACAGGGAAAGTCAGCTTGCAGGAGTAATAGAGGCCGCACCTCGCCCTTTCGTATCTGAAACCTAAGAAGCAAAATACGGATATTACAGGCGAACAGGGTCCGAAATAAGAGAGATTGAATCCTTCGGCCATCTGATTGTGGAGGTCCTTGTACGGTGGGCTCGCACAGTCATAACAATCCTTTTCCCACTCCGGGTCCGATGTGAATGCCATCATGGTTGTGGTGCAAGAATCCTTGATGTGCCGTGCTTGTAGAGTAGGCCCATGTAAAGCGTATGAGTACATCTTCGTTTGGGAAACATTAGGAGGCTTTTCGGAAGGGTATGCTCCCTCAATACATGGTCTGGTATCGACATACGAAGTAGCAGCGACAGGCTGTGAGCACTTCATGAAGACCACCGGCACAGTTGAGAATGAAGGAACAGTTTGGTATGGATCACGATAACTGAAGTTGGAAGGCGCCAATGAGTAATGAGGGAGGGATGAGCAATTACTTTTTTGCAGTCCATCGTCAACCACCGTGATTTCACCGGGGAGCATATCTTCGCCGTAATAGGAATGGTAGTAAATCGATTTCACATAATACCGGCCAGCGTAAAGATATAGAACGGTGCGGTTATTTTCACAGGTTAGCTCATACTCGGAGAGGCCGCAGCCTTTTGGGTTGCCTTTCAATTGAAAGGGATAGCTTATGTTCGCCGCAAGAGGAAGCGATGCACAAGTGATTCTTCTTCGCACCGCAGCTCGTCTCTAGTAGCAAAACATGTAATATGAGAAGTAAATCACGAAACATGCATATGGAGCTCAGAGACTTAATCATCTCTCTATAGTTTGATCTGATATCAATGAAAGTTTTAGCTATTTGGTAATGGGACGGAGGCTCAGCAACATGAATGAAAAGAGTTGGAGTTGTCGGTCATCGAAATGTCCAAATCAACCAATAAAACAAAGTCTAGCGGAGAATAAGATGGCCGGCTAAAGTTTTATTATATAAGTGGGTATCACGTAGAAATTGCAGTCCTTGCAGTTTATCGGTTTATGGATAGCTTTCACATTAATTAGGAAAAAAACTCCTCTGCCGTTTCCAGATTTGGCTTTTCTTGGCAAATTGATTCTCTCTAGGAATCAATTTTAGTATCGTAAAAAAGAATCGGTTTGAATTTTTTGTACCCAAAACTGAATCAAGATCCTCTCAAGTGAGGCATCTGGCGTTCTTGTATGATGCAACACATTATGAAAGAAAGAAAGCAATACTATAATTTCTATCGATGAACTGGCGCGCCTCAATTAGAACCTTACTGACTTCGTCGTTGATCGACACACGCAAAGACTATAAATCCAATATTCGAATTCACAACAATAAAGCGATGTTTACTTATTCACTATCAACTTCAATATTATAATCACTCTCTTGTAACTGTGCTAGATCTATGAATAATACTGTCATCTCTTTCCCATAATAGAAGCACTCAATGAATGAATTGTTTCGGGGTAGATGGTAGTGGAATAGCTAGTGTGGTCATCAAATCGGTCCGGTTGTTATTCTGTCTAAAGCGGATATAATGAGCTACAAAAGAATGAGACCACACATGGCTCTGGGCTGCTCTCTTCTTCCTACCAAATACCCAATGATCTTTGGAGCAAAATTTGGAGGCTAAAAACACTTCCAAAAGTCAGACTTTTCATATGGAGCGTCTACCAAAATGCATTAACTACAAGGGTAAACCTGTTCAAGAGAAAAGTATTATCTGAACCATTTTGCCCATTGTGTCGAAAACAGCCCGAGAAAGTCGAGCATCTATTCCTCCTCTGTGACAAGACAAAGCAGGTTTGGTCAAATCCCTATTTCAACATCCACTTTTCTCATCAACAAGTCACTAGATTTGAGGAGTGGTTGCTAAACTACAATGATATGACCCAGAATAACATACCTTTCAAGATCATCGCAGTCACCCTCTGGAAAATCTGGTTAGCTCATAACACCCTTGTATTCCATCATGAGCAGACGGACCCAATTAGCATAATTGACTCGGCTCTAGACATGCATTGCAATTCCGCGAAGTGGAATAGAAGCAACTTAAAGCGTGAAGCAATATCGTTGAACTTAAAACCGAGATGGAGACCACCAGAACTTGATTTGCTGAAGATAAACATTGATGGATCTCACTTTTTAGGGACCACGAAAGGGGAAATTGCATGCTTATGCCGCGATTCAGAAGAAAGATTGATGGAAGGCCTTGCATGACCAATCCGAGCATCTTCCGCCCTTCAAGCCGAAGCCCTTGCCTGTCTCTATGCTCTCCAACACTGTGCTGATCGGCCTAATCTAAAACTAATGCTGGAGTCTGATTGTTCAACGTTGATAAGCTATCTAAAAGATTCCTTCCTCTATCCTTGGGATGTTGAGCTAATTATCACTGATTGTATTGGCCTCTTGGCTTTTTTTGAGAGTCTAGAATTGGTCCCCTGCACCCGTGACTCAAATAAATTAGCAGACTGAGTTGTAAATGCGTCAATGTATAAGACCCTCCCCCGAAACTGGGTTTCTAACCCCCCCTTCCCCTCTTTGGGAAATCCTATCTTTTGATGCCCATTACTCTTGTAGGTGGGCTCAGGTTTTAATGAAATAATATCTTTATTTCGACCAAAAAAAAAAATGAATGAATTGACAGACCTCAGCAATAATCCCGTTCTATCAAATGAAAATTGTTGTTGCCTGCTTCATAATCATCTTCCATCTCTGAATGTGTGGAATTGGAGGTGTCCTATAAGCTCAAATGATACTACAAGGAAAAGCAATGAGTAATGACTTGTGATGTTCCCGTTTTCATTCTGTGTTGATGGCTGCTTGAGTCTGCTCAAGACTCCTCCCTTTCGTTTCGGGAACCACCATGATCACGGACACCATCCCCGCGGTGTTAATCGCCGCGTAAAGAAGTGAGGTACCTGTGAAACAAGCGGGTGAAGTTAATTAAATGGTTTTTGACGAGCTTTTCGGATGCATATCAAGATTTTTCTCGTGGGAAGAATGCTTTAGTATGTGCTACCTGTCTATTAATCATTTTGCAGAAAAACCCACTTGACTTTTCCCTTTTTCAAATGACACCTCGACTCAATTTAGTGATATTTGAATGTAGGTAGAAGTTCTGTAAACATATTGATTGAAATAAATGGACTGAATTGCATTCGAGAGCGTGAGAATCGAGTGACAGACACCTCCAAACAGGATTGAAGTTTCCAGAAAAGCTAAGTCTCGAGTCAGTAGTTTGGTCGAATTCGTGCAAAAACTCAGGTTCCAATATGACGAAATGATTATCAAGCTCCTGCCTGAGTAATAGTCCAAAGAGTTTTTTCAGCAGAGTCGTACCATAGGAGCTCCAGCTCACGAAGTAGTTGAAAGCGTAGGAAACTGCCCAAGCGCCGAACCAGTTCACCAGTGTTGCAAAACCTCCAGCAACTCCTTTGATATTGATGGGGAAAATCTGAACCAACCCCAGCAACACCTAACATGATTGGCAAAAATTTTGTATCTCTCATAACCCTTTAATATGACAAGCATGAAACTCCAGGGGATGTCTAGAATTGCCTCAGACATCACGACCCAAGGAACCACCCCCATTCCAGTCGAAAATGCCGCTATGTATAGCTGAGCATTGAAAAAACAGAACAGAAAAACTTGTAGTTGTTGCTGCGGCCAACTGGACAGAGCCAGAAAGAGATAAAGGCAGATGAGATTATTACCAGAATGCCGGTGACGGCAAGTATCGGGACAGCATCAGCTGCCAGTTCATGAACCTGGCTCAGAAGATTCTTGAAAATAATAGGTTGACAAGCATTGCACAGGAGAAGGGAGATACTAGGACTGCGAGAATTTACCTTAAAGAAAAACGAAAGGGCAGTTATTATGCATCCCAGGACCAATCCTGTCCCCAAGATCTGCGATCAAGAGAGAGAGACAGAGGAGGTTATGGTTCAAGTTGCAGAACTTGCAAAAGGGGCGGAACCGGAGAAGTGCTGTTGCTATAAACATGATTTCTCAGTGACTTCATCTATTTTACCAAGAGAAGGGGCTTTCTCCCAGCTCTATTGACCAGTGCAGCGCCTATAGCCGTGACAATAACCTGCAAAAATTTACTCTTTAAGTGCGACGATTGTAGAAGTTAGATCCCCAGGAAAGAGGAAAGGAGAGAGAATTACGAACCTGGAGGATGGCGTAAGTTATGGTTCCAACACTGGAGGAGAAACCTGAGGAGATTGTACAAATGCAATTGAAAAGGCGAGACTAACACATTGCTTTTGAGATTCAGCATTAAATTATGTGAACAGCTCACTCAGTGATAATTAAGTAGATCAAAAGAATTCGATGTTGCGAATTTTACTAACCCATTTGAATATTAACTGGATTAGATAAATTGGAATCCCTGCTTTGCTTTTAAAATAGTTACCCATTCTGGAATCATATAATGCAATGCAGAGTTTTATTTTTGTGGTGCCTAAGAGCTTCTTGCTATGACCTTCATACCTGCTTCCTCGAAAATATTGCTTGTATAGAAACAGATGCTATTTATCCCTCCAAACTGTTGGACGACCATCAATCCAACACCAATCTGGCCAAGATTTAACAAATTTGTCAGAAAAAAGAACAAAAATGGAAAATATCACCTAAAGTACAACTACTGAATATTCCTGATCCGCAGGGCATTCCAAGAAAGCAAGGAAGGAGGGAATTTATTGGATACATAGCGGTTAATAGAGAGAGATGATTACGATGATGGAGCTCAGATATCTTCTCTGAAATAAATCCAGCACGCTGGCTTTCGGCAGCCGTTGAAGAGTTTCAATATAGTGCTGTCAAGAAAAAGAAATTCGATCATTCTGTTAGCTATTCGTACTTATAAAGTTGAGGCGTTAAGATGAAATGAGTATAGACTTAAAGGCCTTTACATGTATTTCAGCGGCCTCTTCAGAAATATCTGCGTCCTTGTCACGGAGTTTCTGCAGCATGGCTTCGAAATCCTTTTCGCGGCCCGCTTTCGCCTGCATTTGACAGAATCCTAAAATTCATTCCTACACCATGAATCCCTCTCTTACTAAAATTCAAATAAGTAGAGTCTGGTGTTCATCTTGATTTGTTACCAGCCATCTAGGCGACTCTGGAATGAAAAACAGACCGAACAGCAGGACTGCACAAGGGATTAGACCTGCAAAAAACCGCAGATGTTGAGGGTGGTTTCAGACTTGGACTTTTCTACGCAACATTGGCACTAAACTTGAATTATGCTACTTTTTCGGTTTTACCAATTAATGCCAAAACCCTCCAACCTAATACTGTCCCGATTATGAAGGAAACGGACACTCCGGCACAGATCATAAGCTGTGGAGAGGAGAGAACATGTTAGGCCCAGTAGGGTCTGTAGGATGTACATATATATACTATCTTGCACTTGCAAAAGGGCATCCACAAGCTAAAGCCTTTTTCCAATAGCTCTATGCTTGCTATTTTAACCAAGAATGTTCATACAAAAACTTTGCCTGATTAACAGCAGTCAAAGCTCCACGGAGATCTTTGGGTGTAATTTCAGCTATAAATATCGGTACCAGGACATAAATTAGAAAAAGATTAACGAATATGAACCGAAAAGTGAATGGAGTCCAGAATTCATGTGATATGAAGTGAGGATTTACCACATAGGAAAAGACTCCCATTCCATATCCCGTGGCCAACCTTCCGATATCCAGAGCAAGTGCTCCCTAATTTACTCGAAATTAAACAGAATAGAGAGTTAATGAGACTTGAATTTCTTATGCAACTAGTCCGTCTTCATCTATGAAAAGGCTTGAAAATAGATGGACACACCTCAGCAAAGTAAATAGCAAGCCATCCTGCTACGCAAAAAGCGCTTGCCATTCTCATCGTCTGCATTTTGAGGCAAATGTTTATGCTGTCACGTCCTCCGTGCATGATATGACTAAATCCCAAAGCTAAAACTCTCGAGTCCTGAACAACACTGTTCTCTTTTACATTGTAAAAGACGCACTCCTTTGCTTCTTACCCATTTACGGCAGATAAAATCGGCGATTGGTCCTCCGGTAATTGCGCCAATCATTGCACCGACTGTCAGTATGGATCCGAAGACTGAATACTGTCGAAAGACGGTGTATAATGTAACAATTCAACTAAATATTTCGATTTTGCTTGGGATCTCGATTTAGAAAATCATAGGATCTAGAGCACACATAACAACAAGAGCAATAATCAAACAAAACAAAAAACAAAACAATTCAGACATTGCATCAACATCGTCGACCGGTGAGAATCCTCGTTACTTGCGACCATTGCAAGTCTGTGTGTGTGACTGGGGACCTCACTAACATATGACATTAAAAACAATTTAACAAAAAAAAAATAATTCATCAGAAGCATTAATATTTGCTAATTAAACTATTTGTTTCAAGGTTGTCTTAATAGGTCAAATGACGCATCCAATGACGTTTTAACTGCACATGTTCATATTTTTTTTTATATAGTAAAATTGTAACTGATTACAGTATGTGCTCTTTGTTTTTCTTCTTGTTGCATATGCTCCTTCTGGAAATTACGACCACGGGCACTAATTTTTTTTTTTCGAGAAATAATTGGTTTGTTCTGCTAGCATCTAGACCTGTTAAACGGGTTGGTCGGGTCGGGTTTGGGTTAGGTCATAAATGGTCCGACCCAAATTGACCCATTTATTTGTAATGTAAATACTCCGACCCATACCCGACCCGACCCATATTGCTAAAACGCTTCTATATTTAACTCAATATAGGAAAATTTGTTTCTTATGACTTTTTAAAAAAATTATATTACTAAAACATTTTCATACAATACATTTTATAATTTTTTTAAAAAATTGAGGTTTTGTTTATTTCGCGAAAACTGTAACATTTTTATAAAATATTTTTCATGAAGTTATTATCCAAGAAAATAAAAAAAAACTTCCAGTGTTTGGTTAAAACCTAAAAATGAACTCGAAAATATTTTTCGATGTTTGGTATATAAAATCTGATTTGATTTTACTTCATGTATTCATTTTAATAATTTTAAGGGAAAATTTCAAATAAAGACCCGAAGTTGAGTCATTTTCTCAAAAAGGGACCACAAGTGGACATTGTCTCAAATAAGGACCCGAAGTGGCCAAGCAGTCTCAAATAAGGGCCAGAACACACCGGCCAACCAAATCTTCGCCGGCCGACTTTTTCCGGCAACTGAAACGAGGGTAATTTTGTCCAAAATCTGCAATTGGGTAAAAAATGCAGAAAATCCCCATATTTAATCGCAATTAGGGTTCTTTTTCCTCTCCCGCTGCCGAAGCAAATTGTTCCTTGCCCAATCCTCGCTTGCTCCACGCGAGCGCATTGCCCACCCTCGATCACCGCTCTCTCTTCAGCGAAGGTGCTCTCTCCCCTCTCATCCACTGTAATTCGTTTTTAGTTGATTTTAAACCTGCCGAATGAGCCATCACGGAAACGCCACGGTCCGTCACTCCTCTTTTCACCACACCGCTCCTGCCCCACCTCTTCCTGTGAAATTGAGGTCTTGGAATTTGACGTTTGTCGATTCACGTTCGATTGATGCTAGATGCAATCCTGTAAGTGGATTTTGATTGAACATCTCTTTGTGGTTTTTCAAGTGTAGGATGAAAACAGATTGTCTGAGTGCTTCAGTAATATATATCCTTCAAATTTGATGCCTTGTCTTTTCTGGTTCAAATGGAATAGTATCAGTTTCACTTTTCTTGGATTCGCTCCTCCTTAACGGTGTCCACAGTTTTGGCGTTTGGTGGTAATGTAGTTACCATTTTTACGATTGCCATGCTAGGGATTACAAACAGGAACAAACCCAGAATTTGGAGGGTATGTTTTAAAAGATTTGTATTTCATGAAGATGTTGATTAGAATCATGAAAAACAGGGTAATTCACCTGTCCACACAACGTTTAAGTATATGCATTGGGCATCTAACTCCTGTGCCGGCATAAGTTCTTTACCCTCCTAACATTGCATTGTGGAAGTTATAAATGTGTTTTGACCAGTTTGATCACAATCAAATCACAGGGGCATGTTCTGCTCAGCTAAGCTAATCATTCAGCTTTGCGGTTTCTATGTGCTTCCAATCCTTGGATCAAGTCTCTCATTTCCAAACACGGCTTTCCTGCTGAACACGACCTATTACAGAGGCTTGGTCACGTATAATTCATGGCTTTTTAGATGTTCTAGGTTAGCAATCTGGTTGAGCTTCTTAGCTATGTCCTCCTTGAATATTGCGGCATTTCCTAGCTATATGCAGCTTTTTGTTGCTTGATAAGGAAGTACTGAGTATACGGACAATGCTGTTTACTCTTAATATTGGAGCGAGGAAATTGAGACTTCTTCAATTGGATTGATTCCCCCATTGGTGATGAGCACTTCCGCCAAATCATTTTAGAGCTCATGTGAAGAACGAGATCGATTGAGGTTGACCTTCAACAAAGCAGGTCTACATTTCGCTGATTATGAGGTCAAAGTCACCGTACTCCACTGTGCTCTTCCTGCCGAGCTTTGCCCTCACTTGTGACTCGAATCAGCTCCTCCGAAGCCTCCTTGCTCTGTACAATGGCGTTCCGGGGAATGCGGCGTGGGCCACTGCGGTCGAGCTGACGGGGTTCAGTGGCGTTGGTGTCATCGGTGGAGGACAGAGAAGCGAGAGGGATCGGACAGAGAGCGCTCTCGAAGACGCCATTTGTGGGGGCGCATGAAGAGCCATAGCAGTGTGCAAGGAATGCTCGACTCTCACCAGAAACACGAGATGTTCCTCTCTTGTACGGGGAATGCGTGCGAATTTCAACATGCGCGCTTTCACCATCCGGTCAACGGGTCAGCATAAAGCGGTTCGTACCGTTCGAGCCGAATTGACCGCTCGAATGCGAAAGAGCAAGTTCTCACTTCTCAGGCAGTTCCAATATATGAAATGATTTGATTTTCGGAAAATCGAATCAAATTTCTCCATTTCCTAAAATAAGATCTTTTAGAATCGGTTCCGAGACCGATATTCTCAAGCAATTTTCGATTCTAGTGCTAGTGTTAACTTGACACAACTTGTTCGATCTAGAAACGAGCTAAAATTTGAAGAAATAACTAACGTTCAGCAAGTCCAAAAAGATTGAAGCACGCAACACTGCGGCTGTATCAAAAGAGTAGAAGACAGCGCTTTGAGTAACTCATCTTTCTGACAAACAAATTCAAAAACTAACAGTTACCAAGCAGAAACAGACCGTGTAGTCCCATATCAGATGATTTCAAATATTTACCCCAAGTTTTCAGCTCAACCTTCAAAGACCGAGGCAAAATGGCCTCAAAAGATCGCATAACGCTCTTTCGGCTGCAGGTTTAAAATCAACTAAAAACGAATTACAGTGGATGAGAGGGAGGGAGCACCTTCGCTGGAGAAAGAGCAGCGATCGAGAGTGGGAAATGCGCTCGCGCGGAGCAAGCGAAGACTGGGCAAGGAACAATTTGCTTCAGCAGCGGGAGAGGAGAAGCAAGCGGAAGAACCCTAATCGCGATTTAATCTGGGGATTTTTTGCATTTTTTACCCAATTGCAGATTTTGGACAAAATAACCCCCATTTCGGTCGCCGGAAAAAGTCGGAAATTTTCCATAATTTTAATAAATTTAATAAATTTAGTATTTTATTTTTTTAAATCTAATTTTAATTTTTTATTTTACCTTTATTTTTGGCTGGCGGCTAAAGCCGGCGACAGCGGCTTGTAGTTGACATTTGGCCGTAGGCAAGGACAAGCTCGCCAATCTTGCGAGGCCTCAACCTTGGCGAGCCTCGACCTCGCCTCGTCAAGCCGGGCGAGGCGAGGCTCGCCCCGGCCCGAGCGAGGCGAGCCTCGCCGGCGAGGCCTCGGGCGCCGGAATTGGGCGAGCTCAGCCTCGCTAGATCGGTGAGGTCAAGCTCGCCTAAGGCCGGCGAGGCCGAGCTCGCCCAATTTCGGCATCCCGGCTATGGCCGGCGGAGGAAGAGAAAAAAAAAAAAAAAAGGAAAAGGAAAAAAAAAGAAAAAAATAAAATAATCTTGATTTAAAAAAATATATAGTTTTATGAAAAGGGGGTGGGTGGGTTCAAAATGGGTTCCACACTCAATCCATTAAAACTCATTTGTGATAGGCTTAAAACTTTAAGATCAATTTAAGATAGACTCTTCAAAGTTGTATTGACCTATTTATTTTTAAATAGGTCATATATGGGTTTTAAGATCCATTTAATAGGTCTACTAGCCTCTCCACGCTCGATGGGACCCAGTCCTTATTTGAGATTAAATATTAAGCAATGAAGTCGGATTTTAGCAGAAAATCTCATGAAAAGTATCTTAATTTATTGCACGGATGCCAAAGATCTAGACAAACATTATTAGCGTGAACAAATTTTCATAATTTTTTAATGTTTCATTAATTTGAAAATTTGACCCCACTTGGGGTCCTTAATTGAAATTTTCCCTTACTAAAATTGTCCGCGACGTCTAGATTTATGATTTTCAACCAAAATTAGCCAAAAAGATTACTTTGACAAATTGCCAAAAGGTTTAGGATTAAATTGGTTAAATTAAAAGGTTTAGATTTGAATTGGCACAAGTAGTCTAATACAATAGATTTATGACTTTTTTTGCTAATTTTCCATACGTTATTGTATTTTAGGGCTCTTTCTTTGTTACCTATTTCATAAGTGTCCTCTGTTCTTTTCCAGAGCCAATGCGTGACTGACAAGATGAAAATTGACTTTAAAATCTGCATGACCAAGAGTTACCATCATCATCAGTCGCACCCCCAGAACTAAACACTACAAAAAGAAATGATCTCCTAATCACTAGAGTCGTGTTAAAACAGAGGTATTGTGTCCAGATATCATGAATAAATAGCATCTTTCTCTCTTCCTTCCTGATTCTGATGACAGTTTGAACAGAGCAAAGTCCCAAACTTATTGAAAGAACTCAATCTCCCAGAGATGATGCTCAATATCTATAAACTTCACATTTGATGATTTGTGTCCGGTGACCTTGCGTTGCTACAGCAGATGGTTCGGAGACATGTTTCGGCTGGTCTTTCTATTAAGATATATGCTATAAACACGATATCATAAGCAAATCACTGGGAAGGTTAGCTTGTAAAGTTCATTTATCGTTTGGCCGAGAATGTCGTTCCATCAAGTTTAGATAAACTCTCAAGTGGCCTTTGTAGAGAAATGTTTTCCTCGCGGCTCACTGACAAATTGGAAATTTTAATCGATATGAGTAAACGGTCAGGATGAGCAATGACAGTAAAAAGCACTTAGGTAGTTCTTCGCCTGTTACTACGCTAACCGTCGAAAATGTCGAATCACCATCAATTTAACACTGTCTTTACTCGAACAGCTACAGAACTGTTTAAGAAAACACAAGGAACAGGAAGAGAATCCCAAAGCTCTAGGTATGGTATGACCAGGAAAATCCCGCGAGAGCCGATTTTTGTCGACAGAGCTGATGTGAAAGTGTTGCAGAATTGAAGAATAAGTAGAGGATTCTTCGTGTCTAGCGCTGTAAGCTTGCTGGATATGGAGCAAAACTAAGGGATCTCGCATAGAGTTTGTACCTGTATTTACGACATTGTGACGGAGGAAGTTCAAGACGACGCAGAGCAATCTGTGCCATATGACCTCAACTTAAGTGCATTGCCGTGTCAATAATCAGTTCCTCCGTAAGCGGAATTGATATGCAATTTACGCCCAAATTGTTCTTTACTCACCTTTCATTTGGGGACATTTCTCGATGAATCTCTTCCAGCTCCTCGAGCCTCTTACCGGGGGCACTTCTAAGTGAGGCCATCTGTTTATGACTGTTTGCTTCTGGAAGTCGGTTTTTGTAGACCTTGCAGTTCAGCCTACGAATTTTGCCGTCCATTGGACGGGTCCGGTTGTCGTACTTTGAACACTTCGTTATGTGAGGTTTCAATTGTTCTCGCCTTCCTTTCATGGTGCAGCAGAGCAACATTAGTCGAAGGTACTGGAAGAGGCAGCTCCACAGCCTCCTGTCAAAACGAATGGTCTTTCTCATCAGGATGATTATCCAGTGAGCGTGACGAACTAAGGGAATAAGTAAGAAACTCGATTCTTGAGATGTTTCCGTGTCTCGTTTCTCCGAGACAAATTTTTTTTTGGGTACATCTTCTATTATTTCGTTTACTTTTTCTCTACCGCGTCGAACATAGTACCTACTCTGGTGATTAGCTTAACTATTCATCTCAATCTGAAAGCTACTTACCTACTTGATAGGTAAATTACCTGCTTGTGCACACTATTTTACTTGGCGAATTCTGTCATCTGCACTAGTTTAAATACATGCATCGTTCGAGAGTGCAAGTGCCTCTGTCAGCTTCCGGCATGAGGCACGGCGTAACTATTTATTTGCCTCGTCAAGTCTTGCTTCAGAAGACATGAATACTCTTTTGATAGGAAGTGTATGTTCAGATGATCATAATTGCTACCATTGGCAGAACACACTGCCGATAACAACATGGTAGACGCGGTGTGCATTCTAGTCGAACAACTTCGTTTCAACTTCAAGTTTGTGATGCTAACTGTGCTCGCGCTTGTGGTTTAAATATGATGATGAGCAGAGCTGAACCTGAAATGCTATCTGCCATTCCTCTCGGCTTTGTCGGATCAGAAGAGGTGGCAGGGTCCGCTCCACATCTCGTACCCGGCGGTAATCTTGCTTGTCCTTCACTGGAAGCACAAGGAATGAGAATGAATGCTGCATTAGAGGCTGCGCATATGCCAATTTCGCAAGTTCCGAACCTCATCGCAGGTGGCCACCAGGCCGCGAACTTCAGGGGACGTTTCCGACCATCGACTTTAATGGCTCGAAGCTTGAGCCACTTGGATTCTAACCCTGTCTTTACTTTCTCTGAAGGGTGTTCATGATATTTAACGCTGTTTAGCTTGATATTCTGCGTCATCGCTCTTACTTGGTTTGGAATTCTACTGGTGAATCTCTTCCTGTATACTTGCATAGACACGGTGGTCTTGTTCCTTGAACATCGATGAGGCCCGGCGATGGCTGGCGGAGGGAAAAGGAGAAAAAGAAAAAAGAAAGAAAAGCAGAGAAAAGGGGGAAAAAAAAGCAAAGAAGGAAAAGAGAAGAAAAGAAAAGAATAAAAAATTCGAAAAATACTTATTAAAAATTGTCCACATCGGCGCCGGCCATACCACGTAAGACGGTCAGCATCCACGTCAGCGATTTCCGGCCAAAATTGACCGGATAGACTCGATTGACATAAAAAATAAAAGGGTTTAGGACTCAATTGGCCAAGATGCAATAGATTTAGGACATTTTTGGATAATTTTTCCCTCTAATAGTTAAAATATATTCCACATTCAAATAAATCACTTATCGTGATCAACACTATTAGGCTAATTCCACTCTACAATGTCATGGTTATGTTAGTCAATCTCCCAATTACTTACTTTGTCTTAGTCAACATCCTGTAGACTCATAAAAACAAATTCCAGCACGGTCTTCTGACAACACAAATTGAGGGGTGCGCGACATCACGTATTCAATTTCCATTGATCGAGAAGGCAAAATAGTCAGCCTACTCTGTCTTCTTCCTCTGTAAAGGTTTGGTTTGGCATATTAATTGTCAGCATACTTTCATAGACACGGTGGTCTTGTTCCTCGAACATCGATGAGGCTCGGCCATGGCCCGCAGAGGGAAAAAGAGAAAAAGAAAAAAGAAAGAAAAGAAGAGAAAAGGAAAAAGGAAAGAAAAAAATAAAGAAACAAAAGACAAGAAAAGAAAAAAAAATAAAAAAATAAAAAATTCTAAAAAATATTAAAAAAATAAAAAAAGCAAGTCAACATCCTGTAGACTTAAAAAAACAAATTCCAGCACGATCTTCTGACCATATAAATTGAGGGTTGCGCGGCATCATGTATTTAATTGCCATTGATAGAAAAGGCAAAATAGTTAGCCTACTCTGTCTTTCTTCTTTGATAATGAATGTTTGTCATTTAGAAAATGGCCATGAGGAGTCTACTAGAAAACACTAGTGCTATATGGAAAAACATGTAAAAGCTTCACGGATTACATTGTGAATGATGTGATACATGTTGATAGTACTATTTATATATTGCATTTCATTTCTACAAGAGGAGAACAATCACACAATACATGATTTCGTAAACTCACTGTCCTGGTGAAGTTGGTAATTGCCAGAAATTACCGGAGCACTTGACGAAGATGAGATTGTTTCAAGTTCTATCTCCGCGTCAACATCATCATCCGGCGTCCTGCTCGGATACAAAAGCGGTTTCGGAGGCAGTTGCAGTTTATCCACATCTCCTTCAAGCATATCGAGGACTTTGTTCATCGATGGCCGATCATTAGGGCTCAATTGTATACACCATAGTGCAACGATTATCATCTTCCTTGTTGTTTCTCTTTCCTCTTCTATGACATCTACTATTTCAACCTCCTTTTCTTTGCTGAGTTGATCATAAACCCACAAAGGAAAGTAAATTTGACTTGAACGCTCTGCATGTGCATTTAGATTTCTCCTTCTACCAGCCATTTCCATCAACAACATCCCAAAACTATAAACATCGGCTTTATAAGAAACGCCACCAATGTCCCTATAAAACAGCTCAGGTGCCATATATCCCAAGGTTCCTCTTGCTGCAGTTAACGATACTATGCTGTAACCGGTGGGATAAAGTCTTGCAAGTCCAAAGTCAGAAATTTTTGGAATGAAACTTCGATCTAGGAGAATGTTGTGAGGCTTGATGTCAAAATGTAGAATTTGCATATCACATCCCCGATGCAGATACTCTATCCCTCTAGCTATGCCAAGAGAGATCTCATGCATTTTCTTATAATCAAGAGGATCATCACCACCCTTAAAGGAAATGTGTTTATCCAAAGATCCGTTCGGCATGAAATCATAGACAAGAGCTTGTTTGGAGTAATCGAAGCAAAAACCAACAAGTTGCACCACATTAACGTGGTGGATCCTTCCAGTTGTGGCCACTTCGCTTATAAAATCTTGGCCGTTAGATTTTGGTTTGTTCAAAATCTTAACCGCAACTTCATTGCCACTTCTAAGGATTCCTCTGTACACGGAACCATATCCACCCTCGCCTAACTTGTATTTGAAATTTTTTGTGATCTTCTTGATATCCGAGTAAGAGTACCTTATGGGCAAAAAGTTATTCTGAGCTCGTAGGAATTCTTCGATGTTTGCGTCGATCGCTTGATGCCTTCTCTTCCACTTATAGATTAGAAGTATCAATACACATGGAGCTCCGAGTATGAATTTTGCTGCTAGGAAGTGGCCTGCGGAGAAAATTGGCCTTTGATTAGCATAGTGTCATAATTTTGATACACATACAATTTTTTTTTGTCAGAGTGCTGCTTGAGAGCTTCACAGGCGTGAGGAGAAAAGGACTAGTCATACCCAAGACAGAGGAGAGATCCATTGCTGCCTTTAGCGCAACATTAAGCGCGATATGCCACCTCGATTTATCTGTAGATAGCAAGAGAATTCGACAGAGATTACTAAAAATGATTAATTAAGATTAATGACCAATTAACGAAAAATTAGATCCATCGTTTTAGCAATTAAATAGTCAAAGTAATTTACGTTAAGCTATAACCCAAGTGAAAGATAAATTTATACAACCACTGCAAAGTGCGAAGACACAATTCTGTTCATTGAAATTTGCAAGTGGACAAGTCTAGAATAAAAGAAGAGTGAATGAGGTTCACTTTCCTAGATAGCGCTCAGATTCAACTTTATTCTATTCACTCATGGAATCCATGTCAACGTAACGTGATTTTTTCTCTCGAAGAAATACGATTTTGCTTTTTTTCCCCTAAATGTACCAAATGATTCATAAGTTCCTTAATCACTCACGCATTGTTAATTGACTACCATCATATCATATCAAACAAATTTTCCCCAAACAAAATATAAAGGAATAGTGTAGAATCCAGAAATGCTCCATGGTTGTAAAATATAAAAGAGCAATGCACGCCAAATCTACTAAAAAATCTGAATAAACTTTTTCAACTGACGTGGCAATTTTTTCTATTGGGCATTAAAGAAACTAATGACTCAATATATCAAACATACGTATTACAATATCCAATTGAAAAATGCCACAGCACTCAGTAAGTAAATTTTGATAACGTCGTTCAGTAGAGCTAGCATTTAAGAAAATGATGGGGATGAAGAAGAAGAAAGGAAGGAAGGAAGGATGGAAGGAAGAAAAGCTTCGGGGAAAGTCCGCTTACAGGTGTCATAGTAGTGCCTGCACCACTCCCTTCGGTGTCTGAAGAATAAGAAGCAAGAAGGGATTGAACTTAATGTCGAGAGGCCTACTTCCCCATAGGAGAGATTGAAGCCCTCGGCCATCATGTTGCGGAGGTCCTTGTATGTTAAGCTTGCGGGATTATAGCGATCCTTTTCCCACCCCGGGATATAATCCGATGCGTATGTCATCATGGTTATGGTGCAAAAATCCTTGATGTCCCATACTTGTAGATCAGACCCAGCGTATGAGTAGACCTTCATCTGGGAAAACTTAGGAGGCGCGTCGGCAGAGTATGCTCCCTCAATACATGGTTCAGTATCGACATACAAAGTAGAAGCAACGGGCTGTGAGCACTTCATGAAGGCCACGGACACTGTCTGGTGCTCAAAACTAGCATAGTATGGATCATATATACTGAAGTTGGAGCGCGCCAATGTGTAACGAGGGAGGGATGAGCAATTATCCTTTTGCAATCCATCGTCAACCACTGTGATATCACCGCCGAATATATCTTCGCCGTCATAGAAACTATAGTAAATCGATTTCACATAATATCGGCCGGCGTACAAATATAGAATGGTGCGGTTATTTTCACAGACTAGCTCATACTTAGAGAGGCCGCAGCCTTTTGAGTCGCCTTTCAATCGAAAGGGATAGCTTATGTTACGGACCTCGCCGCAAGATGAAGCGGCGCATAAGTGATTCTTTTTTGCACTGCAGCTCATTCCCAGTAGTAGCAGAATATGCGATATGAGAAGTAAAACACGGAACATACTTGTGAAGCTCAGAGACTTGATCATCTCTCTATCGGTTGATCTGATGCAATGAAAGTGTTTACTAATTGGTAATGCGATGGAGGCTCAGTAATATAAATGAAAAGAGTTGGGAGTCGTCGGTCATCGAAATGTCCAAGTCAACCAATAAAACAAAGCCTAGCGAAGAAAAAGTATGGCCCGGCTAAAACACGGTATCGGAATTAGTTATGGATAGCTTTCACATTAATTAGGAATGAAACTTCTCTGCAGTTTCCAGATTTGACTTTTCTTGGCAAATTGATTCTCGAATCAGATTTGAATCAATTTATCCCACTAAAACAAAAAAAAAACTGAATCGACATCCTTTCAAGTGAGGCATCTGGCGTTCTATTTTATTTTCAAAGCCAATATTTCTTAGGTGTCGCTTCGTTAAATTGTGAAGACGAACAGGAAAAAGATGATGTATTTCATCGTCTAAGGTTTTTCATTTTTGACGGAAAAACAAAATTGGTAACAAAGATAAACTAATAACGGGAATATTAACTTGTATAATGTCACTTTTGGCAAAAATAAAAGGAAAAATAAGGAGTAAGTGCTTCTTGGATGGTGTAACACGTTATGAAAGAAAGAAAGCAATACGATAATTTATAGCAATGGACCGACGCATCTCGATTAAAACCTTACTAACTCCGTCGTTGATCATCACATGCAAAGACGATAGATGCAATATTCGAGTTCACAAGAATGAAGCGATGTTTACTTATTCACCATCAACTTCAATATTACAATCACTCTTTCTGTAATTGTGCTATATCTATGAATAATACCGTCATCTCTTTCCCATAATAGAATCATTTAATGAATGAACTGACATATCTCAACAAAAATGTCGTTCTATCAAATGAAACAAGGTAATATGACTGAAAAGAGTTGGGAGTCGTTGGTCATCGAAATGTCCAAGTCAACCAATAAAACAAGGTCTAGCGAAGTATAAGCGGGTGTCACGCAGAAATTGCAGTTGACCTTGCAGTCAAGGTCACAAAACACGGTGCTGGAATTATTTGTGGAAAGCTTTCCCGTTGATTAGAAAAGAAACTTCTCGGCAGTTTCCAGATTTGACTTTTCTGGAAAATCTATTTTAGTATGGAATAAGAACACAAATAATCCCTAAATTTTAGACGAACTGTTAATTTATTCAATACGATCGCTGAACTTTTGATATATATTCAACTAAGTTCCTAAACTATATCTTTCATTAATTTAGGGACTAAGTTGAACATGTAATAAAAGTTTAGGGATCAATTGAACAAATTAAAAGTTCAAGGACCACATTACACATTTGACCAAAGTTCATGTACCATTTGTGTCATTTTCCCTTTTAATATCGTAAAAAGAAACGATTTGAATGTTATGTATTCTAAACTGAGCCAAAATCCTTTCAAGTGAGGCATATGGCATTCTATTTTATTTTCAAAGCCAAAATTTCATAGGTGTCGCTTCGTTAAATTGTGAAGACAAAAAGGAAAAAGATGTTGTATTTCATCGTATAATGTTTTTCATTTTTAACAAAAAGACAAAATTGGTAACAAAGATAGACTATTAACGGGAATATTAATTTCTCTAATGTCACATTTGGAAAAAATAAAAGGCAAATAATGAGTAAGTGCTTCTTGGATGGTGTAAAACATTATGAAAGAAAGAAAGCAATACGATAATTTATGGCAATGGACCACCGCGTCTCGATTAGAACCTTGCTAACTTCATCGTTGATCAACACCCACAAAGACTATAGATGCAATATTCGAGTTCACAAAAATAAAGCAATGTTTACTTATTCACTATCAACTTCAATATTATGATCACTCTCTCGTAATTGTGCTTGCTCTATGAATAATACCGACAGCTCTTCCCCATAATAGAACCACTTAATGAATGAACTCACATATCTCAGCAATAATGTCGTTCTATCAAATGAAAAATGTTGTTGTCTGCTTCATAATCATCTCCGATCTCTGAATGTGTGGAATTGGAGGTGTCATGTAAGCTAAAATGAGACCATCAATCAATTTAGCACTGTAAACATAACATCGGAAATTCTTTTCAGCGAAACAGACATGTCCTCAAATAGATGTAATTATCACTTACCACATTTTTCTCAAGTTAATAGGACAATTAAGTATAATTGAAGAGACTGAAATAGATTTTCCATAAAATACAACAAACTTCATTGATATACATACATATATATATAACATTTCAATTATTTATTTATAATTTGCTTGGGATCTCGACTTAGAAAATCATAGGATCTACACCATAGATAACAACAGGAGTAATAAAAAACAGTTAAGAGATTGCATCAATATCGTTGACCGGTAGGAATCCTCAGCACTTGCGACCTTGCAACTCGTGACACAGTACCTCCCTAACATATGACATAAAAGATTATAAAAAAAATCATCAGAAGCATTAATATTTGCTAATTAAATTATTTGTTTAAGGTTGTCTTAATAGGTCAAATGACGCATCCAATGGCGTTTTAACTGCACGTGTTCATACTTTTTTTATGGTAAAATCATTACTGATTACATTTTTATTTTTCTTTTTGTTGCATTTCCCCTTCTTGGAATTGGTTTGCTCTGCGAGCATCTCCGCACGCGATGATACCTTAATTGCTTTCTATATCGTTATTATATATTCAGCAATGATTAGTCAAATTTTTAAGAAGAAAATCTCTTGATGAAAGTATCTTAGCTTATGTTGACACCTAAATTTTAGCTAACCATTTATAATAAATTGCATTGAGAATTAGGGATTTAACACCTAAAAAAATATTAAAGTAAAATTGTATATAATTAAATTCATTAATTGCGTTTTAATCGGATTGCGGTGGTGAATGGACCTAGATTAGTTGCGTGGACAGACGCGCGCGACAAGTAAAATTCGGTCAACAAAAGAGGGGAGAGGGCCGACAATTTCAAAGGGAAAGGGAAGTTATAAGCCTTAAATTGAACAGAGGTTAGGCCTGCTTAATTAGAGCTGAAATTTATCAAAATTTTGAGGCCAAGGGCTAAATTACGGCTAGCCCATCCACTGGGCTTGGCTGAAATTCACTCAGGAATGGAGCCTTAATTGGTCCAAATTCAACTTAATTTAGCCCGTTGAAGATTAATCAGGAAAGGCCCTGAAACTAAAGTCGAATTGAGTTAACAATTGAGTTAAAGAGGCTGAAGCGCGTGAAATTAATCTAGAATTACACTATATAAGTGTGTTAATGCTTCATTAATCGAGGTCTGCAATTCTATTTTCAGAACATATACAGAGAAAATACACTTAAGAATTGAGGGAGAAAAGAGCAAGAGAGAGCTCGAGAGAGGAGCTTGGCCGAGACACCCCCCTCTTGGCCGCGTCTTCTCCTTGCCATCCTAGCCACGGTCGACCCCCGACGACGACGTTGCTGTTCATAGCTATGAGTTGCTGCTGCATCGAGACCGACGGCTGAACTTGCTGCCATGTTCTGAGCCTGTGACGACCGACGAAGGTGCTGCTTCTCCGATCTCCTTGCTGCTGCACCGAGAAGATCTTTGCACCAATATGTCATAAAGCGTCGCTTCGTTTAAATTGTGAAGACGAAAAGGAAAAAGGATAGCAATATTATTTATAACGAAACTTTGATCATCAAGTCTTGGGTGACGATTTTCTTTAAGCCATTACTTCTTTGCACCAAGAGATCTGGAAAAAACCTGTTATGAAAGTCAAACATGTCAATGTTACCAAAACTAGTCTCAATCCTAAATTTAGCCTTTCTGCTAGCTGTTAATATCATGCTCGATCCCCATTGATCTTTTTCCAAGTTAGCAAGTAATTCATCTCGTATATGAACAATTCAAAAATCTTATCTAACCTTCGTCTTTTTCTCATTATTTTTCCCTATTGATAAGCATCTCAACAGCTCCATATATTGCATAGTGGTCTTACTTTACATACCATTACTAAGGGTGTGTTCATCTTTATGAAAATGATTTCAATGATACGATTTTCCAAACTTTTCATGTATTTGATTTGCGGGTGGATAATGAACGGAAAATATTTTTACGGTCAAAGAAAACTATCATGCTCGATCCCCATTGATCTTTTTCCAAGTTAGCAAGTAATTCATCTCGTATATGAACAATTAAAAAATCTTATCTAACCTTCGTCTTTTTCTCATTATTTTTCCCTATTGATAAGCATCTCAACAGCTCCATATATTGCATAGTGGTCTTACTTTACATACCATTACTAAGGGTGTGTTCATCTTTATGAAAATGATTTCAATGATACGATTTTCCAAACTTTTCATGTATTTGATTTGCGGGTGGATAATGAACGGAAAATATTTTTACGGTCAAAGAAAACTATCAAAATTGAGGAAAATGATATTTCCATATAAAAAAGAAGAAATGATTTTTCCAAACTCCTTTTTCACATGTACACTCACACAGAATGGGAAATCATTCTCATGTGGAATTTCAGGACCACTTGCATTTTCAACTTGTTTTTGCTTCATTTTTTTTATGTTGCTTTATTTTGATAATAACAAAACTTAAAATTTATACTTCATATATTAAAAATATCTTAGGCAAGGATTTTGATATCATCTTAGTAGCTTGCATTACGAACAAAATATAATTATAAGGAGAGAATGATTTTTGAAAGTAAAATCTAGGGATAAGTGTACTAGAAGTTCTAATAATTGTCACGAAAGTGCAATTGAGTCATAAAACTTGCAGAAAGTGCAATCCAGTTGTAAAACTTGTCAAACTGGTGCAATCGAATCCTTTCGTTAACGTTGTCCAACTTAGTTGATGGAAAATGCTGACGTGGCTTTTTTTATTATTTTCTCTTTCTTACATGGCAATGACGTGGCTAAAACGTCATTTTGATTCAAATTCAATTTTTAATACAAATTTTATTTAAATTAAATAAAAAAATAATCAAACTTTAAAAAAAAAAGGAAAAAGAAAAAGAAAAGGTGAGAATGTCACGCCCCGAACCCCTACGAGCTCGCGACATCCCCTGCTCCGGTCGAAATGATGCGACGTCCCAGGAACGTCGCCGACCCAATCCAAACATCAGAGCCACATGCGGAAGCG